AATTTGAATACTTGGGCCAAACAGTTTCATTTGATCATTGGTCAGAAGAAGAAATAACAGTTAGAGGAGCTGATCCCTGAAAGACCTTCGGGGAGCTGAAATTGTTTTGTAAAGAGATCTTTGCAGAAGTGCAAAAGTAAGGATTTTCGAAAGTAATGTTAGTTCTATTTGAGGTCTGCACTTTTAGAACCTGTCCAAAGAGTAAATTCTGGTTCTAGGTTCTATGTTCTGTTTTCCTTTCCTCAAGATTATAACACAAGAATGAGATTGTGCATTTATATTCTTACCAATTGTTGAAAAATTATCAACAACTAATTTTCTGCGATTAGTCTTACAAATTAAAGCTTGCCGTGACACGGTTCTATCATCTTATTTTTCATATTTCGATAAAAATTGATTTTCTTTTTCATTTTTTTCAAAGTTTAAAAACACATTTCTGAAAAAGTCAACATCAAATCAACTCGGAACTTAAAAATTCAATTTCTCCAGGGCTTTTTTTACTTATTTCTGTCAACTTACGAATTGTTTAAACGATCAGTTCATTTGCGACCAAATTTCAAACCAGAAAGAGATTTAGCACACATTTTCCTTTCTTTTCATCGTTTAAAAACGCTTTTTTCAAAAAGTAAACATCCGATCGATTTGGGACTTGAAAATTTCGTTCCTCCACTGTTTTTCTTATATTCTTGTTGACTCATATCTCTTTTGATCATTTCATTCACATTGTGAATGGGAGAATTATGAATAATTATAAGCTGATCAGAAAAAGAAGTGAACAGCTTGTGTAACGTGGTGTTGCAAATCAAAATGCAACAGTTAAAGTTTTTAATAGGGAAATATTAAATTGCACGACGAGAAAAAGGGTTTTGCACGTGAAATTTTTTTGGAAAAATAAACAGTTTGCACGGGAAATAAATTAGTTATCACGCCAAACTCACTGAACAGGAAATAAATCTTTCAGCACAAGATGGAAAAACAATGATGCACATGAAATTAAATTATTCATATGTAAATAAAATTTCACACGACAAAAAAATGGATCTCCATGGGAATAAATATTTATTTTAGCACATCTATGGAAATGTTTAACCAGGCCCGTAGCCAGGAGGGTGCTAGGGGGGAGGGGGGAGGTAATGCTTCCCCAAGAAAAATTTTAAAATGCTTTGAAAGGGGAAAAGGGGTCAATTTTGCCTCATTTTACTCCCCCAAAATTTATATTTGCCTCCCCCAAACATTTTTTTCTGACTACAGGCTTGTGCTAAACTGATTTTCACAGTTTGAACTGATATTTTTAAAAAGTTATGTTTGAAAAGTATTGCCCCTCAAATTAATTTGTAAAAAATGTTGGAAAATGAAATAAAATTGTATCAGGTGTATAGTATTCAGGCAAATGTCTTTCAGGTTTTGATTTTCAGGCAAATGTCTTTGGGGTACTTTGTTTTCAGGCAAATGTCTTTCAGGTAAATGTATTCAGGCAAATGTCTGGTAATCATCATAACACTTTCCCACCAGCTGAAGCAAAGGCTTTACTCATTGATTAATTTAATTTTTAATTCATCTGTGTGAAATTGGCTGAAAAATAAAGCTAATAGAAATTAAGAGAATTAAGATTAATCTTTTTGCAAAATGACTGTGTTATTTTATTTTTTTCATGTGCAAAAATAGTGTGTGATAAACATTTTTTTTTACTGTTCAAAAAATTATCTGTCGTGTATAAATTATTTTCGTGTGTAACATATTATTTTTCAAGTTAAAAAGTTTTAATTCGCGTGAAATTTTTTTATTTTGGTGTGCAGATTTTAAATTCCCGTGCCAACAGATTTGTGGTCTGTGAAAAACTTTATTTTCCCGTGATTTCCCCCTTTTTTCGTCGTGCCGATAAATGCCACCCTTTTTAATATTGCATATTTGGTCAATTTGCTTACTTAGGAGAATGACTTAGGGCTACGATTCTCTACTACACCTCTTTTCATAAGTCCTAGGGTCTCCTTGATCAATTTTTACACACAAAAAAAAAAATGGTTGAAAAATCATTCAATATCTTCAACTAAAATTATTCAATTTTTTCAACCCCTTCTTTTTGCAAAAAAAATTATTAAGGAAACCCTAGGACCTATGAAAAGAGGTGTAGGAGATAATCGTAGCCCTTAGTCATTCTCTTAAATAATTAGCAAAGGTGTGTTCGTTTAGCAAGATCTGATTCAAATCAGTTTTTCTTCGATTTTTCTCGTTTCAAATCAGATTATTTGAAGAATTACAAACCAAATGAGAAAAAATGAACCGCGTTTGTTTTACCACACCAAAACAGGTTTCCAAATGCCCCCCCCCCCAATGGTAAGCATATGAGAATCCAGAGTCCGTTTTGGAATCCACTCCAGAGTGGATTCAAGTTTTTAGAGAATCCAAATTGAGAATTGGATTCTGTTGTGGCAAAACAAATGCGCGCCAATTCGAATTGGGTGGCAAAACAAATGCGGAAACATAAATCGATTTGAATCGATTCATGAATCCGGTGGTAAAACAAACACACCGAAAATACAGTATTAAAAAATTTAACTGTTGCACTTTGATTTGCAACACCATGTTAAAACCATAAGGTTACACAAATATTAAAATCAAACTGCAACATGCCAAATTTTATACATGAACTGCAATGTTGCGGTTTGACGTGCAACACCCTGTATAAAGATTTGTAAATTTTCATTACAATTTCAATTGATCCTACGAGAGTATTCAATTATCTAAAGTGACGAAAAATTTTTTTCTTTTTGATAGGAAAATTCATGAATGGAGGTCTGGTTTCACCTCAGGTCTTTTCCTAACCAGAACCTGAACCAAACTCAACGAGAACCTAGAACTTTTGAGGACTGATCTTTTTGACAAAAAAAACATGGCTAATGTAGGACAATTGAGGTAAGCCAAAATATAAAAACAAATAAACCACCTGAGGTTCAACCCGTTCAGGCTTGTCCGGCTTTGCCTGCAGCTGATTATTGAACAAGGTATAGGGTGAGGTGAAAGACGCTTTACGATTGAGCTGACTCGTGTCTGTGGCAACGGCGCCGTTATTGGAAGCGTTTGTTGGTAACTTGGCGAACTGGTTGGTAACTTTGTTCTTGTTGCCATTCATGTGGCAGTTCATATCCTGATGATCACGATAATTAGGAATAACTGGCAGAGTCGAATGACAAACGTTATTCATGGTGTTCATGCTATGATAGACAGCATCGTCCTTGATGCTATTCGGTGACGAGTACCTCATCTGCTCGCTCATATTGTCATCCGAACTTAAAGGTGAAGATCGACTATCATCTCGATGAAAGTCCATTTTCTGCGCCATGAGAGGAGAGCAGCTGACACCACGCTGGTTCTTTATCGGAGGCACAGCAGAGACAGCTTTCGCAGCTTTCTGTGAAAACTGTTTCGATCCCTTACCAGTGTAGCGAACCACAGGTGAGGCTACGTTAAACACAGCATCCGTCTTGAAGGTACGATAGTCACGAGCTGCAGCACTTTCACTGACCACCTCATTGGCCATTTTTTTGTAGTTCGTCAGCTTACCTTGGTCCAACTTGGGAAGCACACCGTTTCGATAGCCCATCTCGTCTTGCATCTGAAACATTTTCATGTCTGCCATCGACTTCTGCTGCGTATACGACTGAGGCACTTTTTTCATCGGTGAATCCTTTTTGGGCTGCGCTTTTTTATCGTTATCGGACATCTGATTCATATTGAGGGTCTGCGCAAGGTAATGAGCACTCAGCACGTTATCGTACGCAGACTTCTCTTCGACTTGGGGGATTTCGTGTGATAAAAAGCCAAACGGATTAACTTGTGCCTGACGAGGCCAGTAGGCAGACTGCGCCGAAACGTCATTGTTGAACGAATTGGTGCGATTAACAGCCAGTTGCGCAATTTCATCTTTAGACGAGACTTCTGGTTGATGTTTATTTTGCTGCAGGAAGGGCGAGTTGAAATGAGCTGGACGCTGCTGCGCATTCATAAATGGTAACTCGTAACCGAGTGTGTTGGGGAAGAAACCGGTGCCACAAAACTGAGCCACATTATTGGCTGCCTGAGTGGAGGCGAAATTCGAATTAGAATGCGCCGATGGGATGACCAGAGAAGCGACGTTGTCGGGGTGGATGGAATGGTGAGCACCGAGACCCATGAACTCGTTGGGCAGCGACATAATCGTCATTTACTTCCTGAGCTGCCGATGGTTGGAATTCAGCCGAACACGTAGTTCCACAAACGTGGCTTCATTTTAGTCCAGCACGGTTGGTATACGATGATGAATCTGAAAAATTAAATAAGTAATTAATACTTGATACAGAGAATACTCGAACATTTGTGAAACACTTGAAAATTGGAAACACTTAGTAGGATACAATTACTGCCTGATATGAAGTAAGAACACAATTAATTCAGTCTTACAGCCATGAGATCAGTTTAAAGTTGTAAAAATTGATATTTCAAGCACTTTTATCAAACTTACAACCTTTTAAATACAACTTCTGAAGTAAAACTAATGGCAGAATTGGAATCTACAGCTATTTTCCAGTGAAATTAAATGGTATAACTCATTTATTATACTCAATTTGCAGAAATTAATAAATTGAGGGGATAGGGAAGTCAAAATTGATGAAAAATAGAACCAAATTTAATTCATTGATGATGTCATTTTTGTTGGAAGCCTGTAACTTTCCAATTCAGCTCAAAAAATTAGAATCTTGACAATCAGTTTGGTAGAGAACGAGTCACAGAATCTAAATCTACCATCAGTTTTCACGTTACATATCACATAAATGGGCTGTAAAATGAGGAAAAGTCCTCAAAACTAGCAATTTTTCGGACAAAATTTATTCCATAGGATGCAAAACAGAACCCAATAAATTTTTATTCTGGATTCAAGTTTACTCGAGTATAACCTCTCATTGATGAAAGTTAGAATCGTGTTGCCTAGGTTCATCAAATGAAAACGAACGACGTTCACCAAGTACAGAATCATTTTCGTATCGACTTCAAAATATTAGATAATTAAACATAATGATTCCACGTTCAACAATGATTAACAAATATTCTAGCTTTTATACGACTCAACTAAAACCATACAGAAACGCTCAACATTTTCGAACGTAAAATCATCAGCTTATTAAGGAAGCTACAACCTATCACTAAGTAATATTCGATGTGTTCTGATAGAGCCATACCCTTCTACTTACATCAAGATCATAGGAACGAAAGTAATTTAGAGTTACTCTCTATTGATGTTCAAGTCATATCAGTGAAAATTGTTCAACAAATATGAATATCGAAAAAGAAAATATCTTTTACTTCAGAATCTGGAATACATCGAGGAGGAAACACAGTGGAAGATATGTCATCCCAGAAGAAAGGTATGAAGCTTTTAAGTTATTTCTCCACGTATTCGAAATAATACCAAAACGATAGAGGAACATTGAAAAAATATGTAATCTACCTATTGTTTCGCTAATTGGCAAACACTGAAGATGAAGCTCCGTAATTTCTGTGGTTTCTCTACGAAAGATAAAACGTTCGATTGGCAAATAACGATCCAAGCAAAAGGCTGAAATAATACAAAACAAATAATAATGATCAGTATGCCGAAAGAATGACAAATATTTTTCAAGAAGATTACTGCAATACCTTAGTACATCATCGTGAAGTTCTGTCGATCAATGAGATTCACTTTCGATGATCCTGAAGAATTTGATTCATCGACAACGAGCACGAGAGGCATAAATGATATTATTCCAACTTTTTAAAACAAATGGATGATATTAAACACGTAAAATGAGAAATTTCTTTGGAGAAAATGTAATGAAAATTATTGAAACGAGCACTGGCATTTTCTTCATTGTTGTTATTTTGATAGAGATAGCACAGCGAACACAGCTGCAGCAGAAAGTACGTTCGAAGTACTTTTTTCATACAGCTGATGCAGATTCTGTACAGCTTCAGCGGAAAGAATGCTGCGCCTGCGCACAAGTGTAAATTTTATTAAAATTTTTTCAATAAAAGTCACAATCACA